TGTTGCTAGTCTGTAGCTTGTCTCTTAACTCTTCTAATTATTTTCATTTGTCATTTTATTTATGTTGCTCAAAGTAGTGTCCTAAAGTATTTTCTGATTTCTTCTAATCATAGTTGCACATGTTGGATTTAATTCTTCAGTCCATTTTGAGTTGATTTTTTTTTTTTTTTTTAAAGTGATGAAGAGAGTTTTTTGAGAGAGAGAGAGAGAGAGAGGGATTTTATTTATTTATTTATTTTTCAGTTCTCGGCGGACACAACATCTTTGTTGGTATTTGGTGCTGAGGATCGAACCCGGGCTGGAAGCATGCCAGGCAAGCGCGCTACCGCTTGAGCCACATCCCCAGCCCTTGTGCACATTCTTGAAGCAGAAAACTTTCAAACATAACGTCAATTCACAGATCCTGTTTTTCATTTATGAAATGAAATATTATACTTTCTCACAGTCTTTCTCCCCAATACGCCCTAAAAGCTGCCCTTTTTCTTAACAGACAGTTGCTATTTAAGTGTCAGATTCTCAGGATCAAAGGACCCATTTGGCACTTGTCTGGACAATGTAGGTGTGCCCTTAAGCTTCACCCTATTCAGAATCTCAGCCTCTGGCCTCAGTGAAAGGCTCTTGGCCCTGGAGTTGGGAGCTCTTCACACCTTCCTCTGAACTGGCTGTGTCCCTCTGACAAATTTCATAGTTCTGTTCTTCATTCTTGTTGCTAAGATTTTTTTTAATTTTTTATTTTTTGGTCGCTAGGATTTGAAGCTTCAGACTTCTTGGCTTCACGGCTGGCCCTCTTCTGCATATGTAATCTATTGACCTATGCTATATTTAGTCTCAGCCCTGCTTAGACCGTGGATCCTTTTGGGTCCATTTCTCCTCTTAGGCCAGCCTGGCCTATGTAAGGAAAATGAAACAAAACTATTCTATCATCTACCTATCTAATAAAAATATATATTTGATCTTTGTTGCTGGTTCCTGGCACACAGCTCCTAAAATGGAGTCTTTGGAGTGGTGGGTATCTTTGTATGCTAATGAGATAACTGGTAGGTGAAGGCCCCTAGACAACTTCAGGATGAGGGTTAGTCACCAGAAAAACAAAGCTTTTTTATAGGCTTGGAATTTTCATCATGTGTCCTACCCGACAACCTCTAGAGAGAAGAGAAGGGCTAGAGATCAAGTTAATCATCAATGACCAATGATTTCAACCAATTCAATCAATTATGGGTACATAATGAGACCCCCTAACCTCCAGGGAGAACTTCTGGGCAGAGGTCATGGAAGCTCCATGCAATCCCCACACCCCTAACCACTCCATATCTTTCCCTATACATCACTCCTACTTGACTGTTTCTGAGTTGTATTCTTTATAATAAACCAGCAACAGTAAGTAAAGCCCTTTTTTGAGTTCTGTGAAAATTCCAGCAAATTATCGAATCCAAAGAAGGAGGTTGTGGGAACCCCCGACTTTGTAGCTAATGGAATGATTTTTAGACAGAGTATACTGTTATGTACATAGATTAATTGAGGTGTTCTTAACCCTGGCTGCACATAAAACCTCCTGGGATTATATATATATGAACCTTTATTTTATTTATATGCAGTGCTGAGGATCAAACCAGTGCTTCACACGTGCTAGGCAAGTGCTCTACCACTGAGCCACAACCTCAGCCCCTCTCTTGGAAGTTTTTTTAAAGAAGTATATATCTATGCTTAGGCTGCACCTCCAGAGATTCAAATGCAATTGGTCTGGGCATTAAAATTTTCTCCAGATTTCTTTAGGTGAGTCCAAGATACACCCAGGGTTAAGAGCTTATTGGGTTAAACCTGCATGTTGATAGTTTCAATGTTCTACACTTTCATCTGGTGTTCAAATGCATAGCCTGCATATTGGAATATAGCTAACTAAAAGTTTCAAATAATACTGAAAACAACACTTTCTTGTTATTCCTTACTCATTTGGCATTTCAAAAGATAACATTACAGCAAACTTAGTTTAAAAATTGAATTTGTTTTTATTATGATTCTAGAATTGGGCAACGTCTCATCTATAGAATGCAACGAATATTCCACTGAGCTGAGCTGAGGTGTTGGGCTTTATAGACAGAAGAAGGTTGAAGAAAGCAGAAACAGGGAACAAAAATGGGTTGGTCATTTCAAAGTTACTTTCCTTATAGTCTTAAAAGAGGGAGCTTTCTTAGGTAGCTCAGGTAAACCAGGATCCTTCCATGGATTGCTGTGATTATTTATTTTTTAGAAAACTAGCTCACCTTAAAGCTCAATTTGATTGTCAGTTTGCACTGATTGACTCCCTTCTGGCTTGGTACGGTCTGCTGGGATATTGCACAGGAGGCTAGTTTAAAACAATGGTCACTCATGAATTTATTCAACAGTAATAACCATTGATAAATACTTTGCATGATATGCTTTTGTTGTGTTTAATTTTTTTTCCTTTTGAATGTAATGTGGGCATATTATCAAACGTTGGAAGAAGGAAGAAGAAAAGAAAAAAGAGAGAGATCATGAACTCACTGTTCTACCTCAAGCACTAAGAATTCCAGTGTATTGTCTCCTTCTCTTCTTCATGCATCTGTGCAGAAAATGAAATTAAATGTTGCTTGCTATATAGTTGAGTGTTCCCCAAGGCTTTTTTTGTGTTGAAGTTCAGTTTTCATTGTGAGATATTAAGAGGGTGAAAAGTTAATCTATAGTGTTGAGAGGTGAGGGGAGTGGGTTTTGGGAGGTGAATAGGATTATATAAGGTCACTAGGATGGTGCCCCCACAATTGAGTCATGGTGGCTTATAAGCAGAGAAAGAAATACACACAAGTATTCCTGTTTCTTGCCATATGATGCTCTGTACCACTCTGGGACTCTGCCAGGAAGAATGCCATCACCAGATATAGCACCTTGACCTTGCACCTCTAGAACTATGAGCCAAAATAACCATTTTTTCCTTTTAAAGTAGCTTGTCTCATGTATTTCATTATAGTAATTAAAAGCTGATTAATATGGTGATTTAAAACCTACAAAGAGGTTCTGATAATGTAGCTCAGTGTAGAGCACTTTCCTACTATCTGTGAGGTTCTGGGTTCAATCCCCAGACATACACACACACCCCTTACAAAATTTCAATGTAAACGATATAATATATATAACATAAATTGTTTTATATTTTTAGACTAAGGAAAATTCTTGAATCCTGTGACCTTCCCCTTTTGTCAGCTCAATACAAACAGATTTCTGTCCTTACCTTCTTTAGTCAAGCATTCATCTGCAGCTTGAAAAAATGAAACTGGTCTAGTCAAGGTCATGGTGACCTCCTAATTGCCAGACTCATAGATTTTTCAGTCTCCAATTTAACCGCTTTCTGAAGCACTTGGCACAGTTGAGCACTCTGCCTCTTTGAAACTCTTATCTCTTGACTTCTGGAACACTGATCTGTCAGAGAACAAAATTACAAGTTAGCTTAAGGATCTTAATTGGCTTTATTTTCCATTCTACAATCGAGAGACATCTCATTCCATAAAATAGAATAAATGTTTGTTGACTGAGCTTAAAAAACCCAGAAACCAATAAGAAAAAGAACATTGGCTTTTTAAAAAGTTACTTTGTAACTTTTGTCACTATTGTCGAATAGTGACTTGGCACTGCCTATCCTTGATTTAGGGCACCTATTATGAGAAGGCTTGTGAAGAGATGAAGATCCCATGGAATGGAACCAAAGAAAAATAACTGCTTGGTTAACATCAGATTTCCTTGGGTTTAAATTTTTTTTTTTTTTAGTTATAAATGGACACAATACTTCTATTTTATTTATTTATTTTTATGTGGTGCTGAGGATCGAGCCCAGTGCCTCACATGTGCTAGCCAAACGCTCTACCTCTGAGCCACAACCCCAGCCCTCAGGTTATTTTTTTTTTTGTAAGGACTAAAGAATATAAGGATTAAAGCAAAGGAAAGTTTAATCATCATGCCAACTGTAGCTGGCTTGTTTAAGAAATTTGGCTATAAGACTTTCTTGGTTTCTCAGAAAGTATGACAACTTAGTTACAGCTGGTGACATGGAACCTCAGCATAAGTGACTCCATTTTGATTTTCAGTATGTTTTTTTTTGGGGCCCAGTACAGGGACACTAGTTGAAAACAGTGCCCTCCTTGGCTTTTATTTAATAATCCAAGCCCTGCCTATTAGCAGAATAAAAGACAGTGTATCAAGAATGTGGTTCTGCTTCTCAGGACCTGCAGATTCCTCACACCTATGGACAGTTGAAACTGCAGGCTCTGAGGCCAAGGAGCCATGATGTCTAGTCACACTTTCACATGCTATTTATTAGTGTATATATTTTTGCAGGATTTATTTTGAAATCAAATGGTGAAATGTAGCCTTTGTGAGCTGGCTATGATCCTCAACAATCTTTGAACTTAGACAAAGCTTCTGTGGCCTGGCCCAACTTGCTCCCAAGTCTGTAGGTCCAAGCTTCTCATATGATCCGCTCAACCTAAGTGCCTGTTGACATTCTTTGTCTAGCTGGGCTAGGTGCTCCAAATGGAATCTCCATTTCTTCACAAACCTTCTCATAATAGGTGCCCTAAATCAACAATAGGACGTGTCAAGTCACTATTCTGCACAGTCATGCTGCAAAGGGAAAGATCAACTTCTTTTCTCGTCATCTGCTATTACATTCTGAATCTTTGTGTCCTCCCCAAATTCCTATGTTGAAATCCAATCCCTAGTGTGTTGGTTTTAGGAGGTGAGGCCTTTGGGAGGTGACTAGGTCATCAGGGTAGAGTCCTCATGAATTTGGGATTAGTGCCTTTAAATGAGCCTTGAAGGGACTTGTCTGCCCCTTTGCCCTTCCCTTCTACCATGTCAGGACACAGAATGTGCTATCTATGTGGAATAGGCCCTCACCAGACACTGCATCTGCCAGCACCTTGATCATGGATTTCTTACCCTCAGAACCACGAGAAATGAACTTCTGTTACTTATAAATTACCTGGTCTAAATATTTTGTCATAGAAGCAGGAATGGAACAAGATATCACTGTAGACAGTTATGGTGGATTCCATCTCATAAATAATTATGCAAGTCTGTACCTATCTTCCCCAGTGCTCACAGTCACTGGCTCGGTTCAGGCCCTACAGGGTATGTTAAGGTTTAGGATAAAGGCTAAAACAGAGTGGTTTAGAATTAAGGCTCAGCCTTCTTTAATTTGAGATATATAAATATAACCAGAAAATTAAACTAGCTATAAAAAATTTTAGTATCGTTTCTGAAAATGGACAGGAAAAATATCTCCATTTAGTGTTATTGCTTGAAGCTACTCCAGATTTATTATCCTTAGAATGAAAACTATTCCTTTTCCCAAATAACCAATAATTTGGAGAATTTATTGTTGGCTTCTCCCCTGCCCCCTTATTTTGGTAGTACAGGGGATTGAACCCAGGACTGCTCTACCACTGGGCTACATCCCAGCCCTTTCTCTCTCTCTCTCTCTCTCTTTTTTTTTTTTTTTTAATTTTGAGACAGGGGCTCACTAAGTTGCTGAAACTAGACTCGAATTTGTAATTTTGCCTCAGCCTCCAAAGTCACTGGGATTATAGATATGTGCCACTGTTCCTGGCTTCCTTTTCCTTCTAATAACTAGGTCTTTCACTTCCCACAAATTAACTTTTGTCAATCATATCTTCTCTCACAAGTTTTTTTCTTTGGTTGAGTTTCCTAAAGTACAAGACCAAGAAGGCACTTTTGGTGAGCTCTCATCTTGAAGCACAAATATGATGGAAAAATAGAGGAATGTGATGGGCATAGTGTGCTTTGGGGGCCAGGGAAGTAAAGAGAGTGTTCCTGTAACATGCAAAACTGGTGCCAATATAGCATTAGATGAATTGAAAGCCTTCTTAAAAATTCCACTTTTCCTATATTCTCTCATATTTCTAAATATAAATTATCATTAGCAAATAATTATGATGAATAATAACACCATCACTTAATTTCCTGCCAGCTGAGGCCTGGCAGAGTTGAAGCATGCTAAACCTCAAGAGCATGCAATTTTAGAAATGAACAATTAAGCTCAGAGAAGATGAGAGTGGAGGTTACCGTGGCAACCCAGTCCCACAACCCTGTGAGGCCATGTTGTCTCTGTGTATGACTCACAGAGACTGGTTACTGTGATTTATACTCCAGGCAAGGTTTAGGTACAGAAATGAGGGTGTTTCTCTTGTGCAAGTACAGAAAGGATGGGTATTTTGAAAATCCTCTTCAGAGAAGAGGATTCTGTGATTTTTCCGTGAAGTGACAAAGGAGTAGTAGCAGATAATAAGTTTTAGTCTTAAAGTATGCCATAAAAATATTGAAATTATAGGCTCTGCAAAGATATTTGCATGGAAATTTAATAGTTAGTATAATGGTATAACTAATTGTTAATTCAATAATACTGGTTAGAGCTGGGGATGTAGCTCAGTAATAAAGCACCTGCTTAGCATGTGTGAAGCCTTGGGTTTGATCCCAAGCAACACACACACATACAATACTAATAATATTGATCAAACTCCAATATGTATCAGAATCTACTGTAAGTGCTGAGATGCAATGAATAAAACAGAGGTAAACAATATATAATGAATGATTTATGGTATCTAGTGTGTTCAAATGTGATGAGGATTATGATGATAAAATAAAGCAGGGCAGGAATACTGGAAATGATGGGGCTGAGGGGTATGGTATGGGGTATGGCCTTTCTCCCTTATAAGTTGATTATCTCAGGTATTTTATCACAGTGACAGAAAGCTGACAAGAAAAATCCTTATAAAGAAGATAATATTTGCACGAGTCAAAATGAGGGAGGGGTGAGCCATGCAGACTTGGGGCAAGAATGTTCCAGATAGATTGAATGTCTGTGTAAGGGCCCTAAAACAGACATATGCTTGCCATGTTCAAGGAGAGTTAGGAGAACTGGAGTGGACTGAATGAAGGGGAACGAAGCGAAAGTGAGAGCAGAGTGATAACCAAAGGCAAGATCACATAGGGCTGCTGTATTTCGGACCTGGAATGTCCCCCAAAGATCCATGTGTTTAAGACTTGGTCTTCAGTTTGGCACCATTGGGAGGTGGTAGAAACTTTAAGAAGTTAGTAGAAGGCGCCAGGAGAAGTGGCACACACCTATAATCCCTATGACTCAGGAAGCTGAGGCAGGAGGATTGCAAGTTTGAGGCCAGCCTGGGAAATTCAGTGAGACCCTGTCTAAAAAATAAAAAAATAAAAAGGGCTGGGGATGTGGATCAGTGGAAAAGTACCCCTGGATTTGATCCCCAGTAGACACACACACACACACACACACACACACACACACACACACACACACAGAAAAAAAATAGAAAGAAAGAAAGAAAGAGAAAAAAGAAAAAGAAGTTAGTGAAAGGAAATTAATTGGGAACATGCACTTGAAGAGGATATTGGGACTCCAAGCTCTTCCTGTTTCTCTCTTTTACTTTCTGGCTGCCATACTGTGAACAGCTTTGCTCTTCTGTGCACTCCCTGCCATGGTGTTCTGTCTCACCAAAAATCAATGGAGCCAACTGACCAGGGACTGAATCCTTTGAAACTGTAAGCCAAAATAAACCTTT